GGGATGGTGGCAAAGCACATAGTCCTTTAATAGCCATGTTTTAAATCCTAAGGAAAATCTATGACTCAGGATGCTCTCTTCTTCCCTCTCCTACTTTTAAACAGGAATAGAAAAGCCAAGGTCAATCCTTCATCACCCCCTCTCCTGAACACTGGCCTAGAGGACAAGGAGAGACTTCAACAGTCCCTACTTAGAAGGGAAAAGGATAAGCATTTCTATAGTAGCACCTACTATGTGTCAGACACTATACCAAGCACTTTTAAAAATATCTCATGTATTCCTCACAAAAACCCTGCAAAGTAGGCATTATTATTATCATCCCTATCTTACAACTGAAGAAACGGTGACTCGCCCAGGTCATACAAGCTAGGAAGCATTTGAGGCCAAATTTGAACTCGGGTCTTCCTGTGCTTTCTAGGCCCTCACTTCATCCATTGTACCACCAGCAGCATGGTAAAGATGCAGTTGCAGCGCTGCCCACTCACAAGATGATGTGCTTGCAATCACATCTCAACCATCCTTACAAAATTGTACACAGAACCCACAAGCCTGGGGGAAAAAACAGCACCGCTGCCAGTGAAGTATAGAGAAAGCCACACAGTCAAAATATGTAAAATATGCATTTTTTACTTCTCACACACTGACATACGTCAGGCTTTTCCCCAATTTGAGGTTGAATTTTACTCAATGGGTATTTCCTGAAAAAGCTTCCAGAAATGTTCGTACCAAAAAGTCATTGTTAATGGACCAATCTCAACTCATAATGCACTAAGGATCTTCCTTTGGCCCCGAGTTACTTAACAACCTTTTTTTTTTTAATCAAAGACATGAAAAAGGCAGACACAGCATGTTTATCAAATCTGCAGATGTCAGGACACTGGAATGGAATACTTAAACACTGGATGAGAGTCAGGATCCAAAAACATTGACAGGCTAGAATGACTGGCCAAATCTAATAAGATGAAATTGACTTCAATGGCTCTGGTCAGTATTCCTTCTGATAGGAAAACAAATTACAACCTCATCCATCTCTTCTCTCCTCTTGTGCTAAATCCTCTGTGGACAACCTACCCAAAGGGGTTCTTAAGCTTTTTTGTGTCATAGACTGCTTTGGTAGGATGGTGACCTATGAGCTACTTCTCAGAATGCCATTTTTTAAATGCACAAAATAAAATATATAGAATTGCAAAGGAAACCGAATATACTGAAATATTTATCAAAGTCTCTCTTTTTTTTGGGGGGGGTAGCAATGGGGTTAAGAGACTTGCCCAGAGTCACACAGCTAGTAAGCGTCAAGTGTCTGAGGTCCAATTTGAACTCAGGTCCTCCTGACTCCAGGTGCTTTATCCATGCACCACCTAGCTGACGCTTAAAATATCTTTTAAAACATAAATCAAGTTCACAGATCACAGGTGAAGAACCCCTGCGGAGCATTTTAACATTTCATGGATATCAGTATAACTTGAACTCTCCTTACTTATATTCCCTCCTTTTATAGCTATTCATATCTTATATGATTAATTTTTTTGCTATTTGCACCTAAGCGACTGTTTATAATATTCTGCAGAGAAACATATGATACCTCCCCCCCTCAACTGCTTTGCAGAATTAAGGGGTCCATGGGTGTAGGGCACGGCATGTGTCAGTTTTTTCTACAAGTTTACTAATAGCCGCAAAAAAATACTTTAAATACTTTATATTAAATATACTAATACTCAATACAAATACTAAAAAAAACCCTTTATTATACAATCTTAGGCAAGCATTCAAAGCAAGGAAGGTGATAATCTAACCAACTCAATCCTAATTGGGCCACATTTGAAATATTTTGTTTATTCCTGGGAACCACAATTTAAGAGTGACACTGAGAAAAAGGATGAGAAGCCCAGGAGTTATCTTTAAATATTAGAAAGCCTGTCCTAAGAAAGAGGCATCATATTTTTTTCTCCCATAAATTAAGGACAAGTGCCTGGCACAAAGTAGGTGCTAAGAACTGAACTAAGTGCTAGTGTAAATACAAAAGCAAAAGCAGTCCCAGCTAGATTAACAACATTCCATCCAAAGAGAATGGCAGAATTGATTCGATCATGGTTCCAGAACAAGAGGGTAGTAAGGAAGGAAAGGTTTGTCAGCATCTCAAATTCAGCACATGTAAAAAATACTTGTGTGTGTGTGTAAATACAGATAGATCTATGTCTATAGATCTGTCTTTCCCCACAAACCCACACCTCTTTGAAAATTCCCTGTTTTTGTCAAGGGTACCATCCTTAGTCAGTTGCCATCATCTTTCACTCCTCATCTCCTTCACCCATATGTCCCATCAGTTGCCAAATCTATTTGTTTCTAGGCAGCTAGGTTGCCAGAGGATACAGCACTGGGCTTGGGATCAGGAAGACTCATCTTCAAAAGTTCAAATCTGGCCTCAGAAGCTTACTAGCTGTGTGAACCTGGGCAAGTCACTTAACCCCATCTCCCTCAGTTCCTCATCTATAAAATGAGCTGGAGAAGGCATTTGCAAACCATACCAGTATCTTTTTTGAAGAAAACCCCAAAATAGGTTCCTGAAGAGTCTGGCACAGCTATCTCCACATCTTTCACACAAGTCCTCTTTTCTCACCTCAATCAATCAAATATTTATTAAGCACCTACTATGTGCAAGACACTGCTACAGGCTGGGATACAAAAAAAAGAAGCAAAAGACAGTCCCTGCCCTCAAGGAACTTAGAATCTAACTCACCACAATCACTCTAGTTCAAGCCTTTGCCACCGCTGGATTGAACTAGTAGTCTCAATTCAATTAATCAATCAATCAATCAATAAACATTTATTAAGTTCCAGTAGGTACTGTGCTAAGCCTTGGGGATACCAAAAGAGGTGAAAGATAGTCTGCCTTCAAGGATTTTACAATCTAATGAGGGAGCCCACACGCAAACAAATATGTACAAAGCAAGCTATATACAAGATAAACAGAATTAACAGAGGGAAGGCAGTAGAATTAAGAGGGGTTGGGAAAGCCTTCCCATAAAAGATGGGATTTTATTGGGACTTAAAGGAAGCCAGGGAAGTCTGTAGGTACAGTTGATGGAAAGCATTCCAGGCATGGAGGACAGCCAGAGAAAATGGAATATCTTCTTTAAGGGTCTAATTCTTCTCTCTACCTCCGTTCTCAATGGCTCCTTAACACTTGTAGGATCAAATACAAACTCCTATGTTTATCATTCAAAGATCTTCATAACCCTACTCCAACCTATCTTCCCAGGGCTTGTCACAATGCCTGGCACATAGTAGGCTCTTAATAAATGTTTGTTGACTATCTTATTCTACATTACTGTTCTTCACATACTCTATGGTCAAACTAAACTGGTCTCCATGCTGTGTTCTTCACACACAGCAATCTCCTGTCACGGCGGCTGGTACATGTTGTCTTTTCAGTAGTGTGGGATTCTTCATCGCCCCATTTTGGGGTTTTCTTGGCAGAGATACTGGAGTGGTTTGCCATTTCCTTCTCCAGCTCAAATTACAGATGAAAAAACTGAGACAAACAGGGTAAAGTGACTTGCCCAGGGTCAAACTGCCAGTAAATGTCTGAGGACTGCTTTGAACTCATGAAGATAAGTCTTTGTGACTCCAGGCCCGTGTGCTATCTACTTAAGACACCTAGCTGCCCATACCTGGCACACAGCAGGTGCTTAATAAATGCTTGTTGACTTGATCTAGCTCCTCCCGGCCTAGAATGCTCCCCTTCCTCCCTTCTATCTCGAAGAATTCTTAGCCTTTAATATTGAGATCCCCTTCCCCAGAAAATGACCCTATATGTATTTTGAAAGGAAACTCCCTATGTACTTTCAGTGTCCTTGCAGCTTCTTAAGAGCCGAGGGTCTCATTTCTCACTGTCTCTATCACTCATACCATCGCAGGGCACACAGCAGGCACTTACTAAAAACGTCCCACCACTTCTCAGACCCTCCTTCCCTCAAAGCCCCCCTCTCCCATCTAGAAGCGGCCTCCACTATCCCAACCCCAACACCGCAGAGCTGTCCCTGGAGCTCTCCCCTTTCTTCCTCGCCGCCCCCTCCTCTACCCTCCCCTCCCCCTGTTCGCCGCCCCTCTGGAGACCCCTCTCATCGTCCTCCCCCCGCCCCCTTCCGCGACACCTCCCTTCTATTTCCTCACTCCCACACTAGGGTGCATCCTTGACTCCCCTCCCGTCTCACCTGGCCGCGCACGCGCGCGTCCCGCCTAGGGGCTTGAGCGCCCGGGGCCGGCTGAGGGTCCCACTTTCGAGACTCACTGAGTTCGCCACTTCCCCACCTCCATCCCCCTGTAGCTACTGCTACCGCGGCCGCCGCCGCCGCCGTCACCGCCCAGACCCACAGTTTGAACTGCAGCGCCGCCCCCTCTGTGTTGAGACTTCATTGGTCAAACCAAGGTGACATCCTGGAGCGCATACGCACTCTTGTAGCCCCGGAAGGGCGGGGAAAAGAGAGAGTTTGCTTTGGAGAAGTGAGTCTGGAGCCGGAGAGGGGAGGAGCACAGTCTCTACCCACTCCGAAGGAGGCTTGAACTACAAATCCCAGTATTCCTCGCGGCTCCATCAGGGATTGGAAAGGGGGCCCCACGCCAGAGCGGAGAATGGAGAGGGGTTGGTAAAGGTGATCGGGGCGAAGAACTTAGGAGCGACGACTGTAGGGACTGAGCAGCTTTAGAAGGCCAGACCGTGTTGAAGTCTCGGTTTCTGACCTTGGAAACCTTAAACTACAAGTCCCAGCATTCCTTGCAGCTAAGTAAAAGTTTTTTCCCATCGGCCACGGCAAGGGGCAGGGACTGCAGTGGGTCCCGGCATTCCTCAGGGCAGGGCGTATAGAGGTGGGGAGGCTATGACAATGATGGTTGCCATGGCGTTGTAGTAAGTGTGCCGCGGTCTATGGGAAGGCTGAAGGAGACGGAGCTGGTAGGTTTGGGCAGCAGCTGGGGAGCCCATTGGGCAAGGACTGAGGCGGGTACAGGTGTCATGCCAAGTATAGGTAGCCCTATTACAAGGGCCTGAGATGGCCCCAAGGCAGGGACAGCTAAGCTAGAAACCTGAGATAGTCCGGGGAGAAAGTAACACAGACCTGGTAGAGAGCCTGAGATGAGCGCCAGGCACAAGGGGTGGGGAGTGGGGAGTGGGAACCCCATTCATAATTCATTCAGCAAGCACGAAGTGCCTACTTATATTCCAGGCACTGGGCTAAGCAGTTTGTTCAAAGACAAAACGAAAAAGTTCTAGCACTCGAGAATATTTTTTTGGAGAAACTACAGTAACACACATAAGTAAAATGCAAAATAATTGAGGAAGGGATATGGTAAGTCAGGAGCGGTAATGGCAGCTGGCAAGTGAACAAGATCGGTCTAGTGAAGAGGTACTTGAATTTTAACTTTAAACTAAGGGATTCTAAAAAGTAAAGGTGGGGGGGGAAGTATATACCAGGCATGGGGGTGAGGTGGAGCAGGAACTGCTTGAGCAAAGGCACAAAGGCCAGTTTGGCTGGAGGGTAAGGTGTCTGAAGGGAGTGATAAGCCTGGGAAAGTAGGCTGGAGGCAGCTTGTGAAGGGCTTTAAATATCAAACAAAAGTTTATATTTTAACTTAGTGACAGTTTGGAAGCATCTGGAGCAGAGGAGTGACTTATGCTTTAGGAATCTCAGTTTGGCAACTCCAGTAGATGGAATGGAGGCCAGAGACGGAGGCAGGGAGACCAATTAGGGACTTTTGAGGTACTTGCTAGGCATGGCACAGGGTAGGCACTTCCCTCCCCATTTCCTTAGCCTAAGAAATTTCAAATTCCTTGAACACCTTACCATTGGGATGGGGAAAGGAGAGCTCTACCAAAAGAGGGGAAAGGGTGTTTTTGATATGGGAACATGGGGGTTCTGACACAGGCAAGCCAGCCAGCCCAGATGGAGACTATTCCTTGGTTTCCCCCCTTTTCAGTAAAACAGCTCAGATATTAATAGCCACCTGAGTAGATCCAGTAACTAGAAATTTTGCCACCTAGGGCAAGCAGCCTCCTACACCCCTTTAATACCGTATCTTCATGTGCCTCTAGAAACATGGATGTCTCCAGAAGACATAGAATTACGACTTCTTAAGTGCCGTTTGTTCCTTCTCTCATTTCTCCTCGTAGACTAGGACAGAAGAAAAAATACATTCCTCGCTCCCCAGTGCTGCTTCTAAATCCTCCATCTGTAGTTATTACTCAGCAAACACTCCCTCTTTTTAGGCCCAATATATTCTTCTAAATGGTATTTAACTGGCATAGTGGATACAGTGCTAGGCTTTGGAGTCGGGAAGACTTGAACTTAAATCCTGTCTCAGACATAGACTACCTTTGTGACCCAGGGCAAGTTACTTAACATTTTTCAGCATTTGTTTCATCTATAAAATGGGCATAAGATCTTTTGGTATCATGGTCACTCTCCTTTTTCATGTATAATACTTGGCTCAGTCTTTCCCCCTGTCCCAAACCCTGCCTGAATATCTGGGGATTTCAGTTTACACACTGAAGTCCCCTAAAACACCCTAGCCTCCCAAACTATCAACCTTAAGTCACATTACCTAGGTCATCATTATGCCCAAGCTACCCATAGAGATGGTTGTACTTTAAAATTCACTCATTACCCACAATTGTGCTGTTTGTGGTCCTGAATCTTTTATCATAACCCTTTGTAGTCTTTTGCATTACTACTAAAACTATCTTTCATCCTCAGCATAACCTGTCTCTTTATTCTTGTTCCACCCTTGCTCTGGCCCTAGAGTTGACCATTTCAACAGCACACTAATATCTACCCTTGACTCTTTTGCCTTTCATGATTTTGCCAAACCCGTTACCCTCACTCTCCTGGTCTTCTAATTCTCCTCAAACAGCCAAAAGAAGAAGGCACTCAAACTGACTGCTGATTGGATTCCACTTATCTAATCTCAACTGGACGCTCAAAGATGCATGACATTCTTTTTATTCTTCTGCGATTGATTTTCAAGATTCCTTGAAGTGATTCATCTCTTCAAATTTCCATGTGCTACTCCCTTTCCTCCTCTTTCAGAAGACCTCAATTCCTACCTTAGTGAGAAAAAAAGCAAAGTTATCCATCTACGGTAAGTTCTATTTTCCTATGACATACCTTAAAATTCCTCCGTATCATCCTCCATTCCTTCCTTTTACTCCCATATCTGAGATATACTGATTTGAGTATTAAGTTTGGAGGCCCACCTATTCTTATTAGAATATTATATTATCATTATTGTGTTAAAACACTATCATATTCTTTCTCCTTTAAGGAAAAGGTCAGTGTCCCTTCCTTGAAGCCTTACCCCAAATGAGTACTCTTTTCAGTTTGATTTTCCTGCTCACTAGATCTTGTATTTGCCCTTATTCCATTCTTATTCTTATTTGTGTATGTATCTGAGCCTCCCCAACTTTATTAGACTTTAAGGTCTCTGACAGTAAGCACTGCCTATTTAAAAATTTGTATCCCTAGTGCCCCAGTCTCTAAGAAAGAGGTGGTTCTCTTTTCCAAGGCCAACTTCTCTATTTGTGCTCTTGATCCCATCCACTTATCTTCCTTCACTCTCTATTTACTTGCTCTTTCACTGCTGCCTACAATCACCCATTATGTCACTGGTCCTCTTCAAAAATGAAGGCCAAACAACAAATATCATCAGACCTCCCCTATCCTTAAAAATCTTTCACTTGCCCTATATATTGTTGTTGTTTGTCCTTCTGTTTTTAAAGAGGACCAATGACATCATGCATTATGTCTTGGCTTGTGTGTGAAATTGGATTTAAGTGAGGTAGAGCTGCATAATCATCAGCCTCACTCTCTCTTCCCAAGTCATAGAAATACAGTAATGGGACAAAAGTCAAGATAATTGGTGATGGCCCAGGATGCAGTGCATGACCTTGGCATCTTTGATGCCTGACCAAGCTCTCAGCACTCCACAGCATCTGCTCCGGCTGCCTTTGTGGCTGTTGGAACAAACTGTTCTCGTCTGCCCATTCTGCCAGAAAAAGTCTTCACGTGCTTGGGGTGGACATTCTGCTAACTCACCAGGGGTTTGAGGTCTGTCAGTTACCTTTAACTTGGTTTAGTCTGTCTGCTGAGATGGTTTTAGTGGGGTGTGGCCACTGCAAGCTTCCTGGAGCCACAGGTGAGTTGGGTGAATCAAGTGGATACCAAAAGTGGATGAGCAGCTCCTGAAAAGTGACTCAATAAGCCTTCACCCCAGAGGTGCTAGTGCTCCTGAACACCCCATACACCTCCCCCCCGCCCCCAAAATACATATTACATAAAGCTATCAACTTACAGCCCCTAGACACGGGGATTTGTCCCTTTCGGAGTCATCCTATACTTGTTGCCTTTCCTTCCTCACTTCTCAGGCTACCAGCATCTCTCCTAAAATTCCACTGTTGATCTAAAACCGTTTTCTCACAGATAACTCTCAATCCTTTAGCTGTTAAATCAGATGCCCTTTTCTATCATCATACTCTTGACCTATCACTTGCTCCTAAATATTTTTACTTTTAGTTTGTATGACATTGCTTTCTTCTGGTTCTCCTATTTAATATATCCTTCTCTGGTTCTTCTGCTACATCACTGATTAACTGAATGAATTTAAGTAGCAACTATTGGCATTCTATCAGAAGAAATATGGACATTTTTGGTGGAAGAGGCTCTAGCAGCTGATGGAATTAGCAAAGGCCTTGTGAAAGAAATGGCATTTGAGATGACCTTCAAAAGAAGCTAGGGGTTCCAAGAGGTAGAGATGAGTTTGGAAGACAGCTTGAGCACAGTCACAGAGGCCAGAGGTCAAAGGATCATAGAGCTGGATGTGACTGTATAAGCTATCTGCTCCAACCCCCTCAATTTATAATGAGGCTCATACAGGATAACACAACCAATATATGTCAAAGGCAGGACTCAAACCCAGGGGGATAATGTACAATAAGCCTGTAAAAGTAGGATGAAGCCAGATTAGAACTTTATGTATCCAAGAGAAGTTTGCATTTTATCCTGGAACCAGTGAGAGACAGCAAGGCACAGTGGATAGTGGCCTCAAAGCCAGGAAAACCTGGGTTTTTAAATCCAAGCTCCAACACATACTGGTTTGTGTGAGCCTGGGCAACTGACTTAAACTTTTGGTGTTATAGGGAGCTAGGACTATGGGTTGCATTGGTAGTATGTCCTTGAAGAGTTCCCTCTATCAGTGACATCCTGAAAGTGATATGATCACAGCTGTGTAGATACTCTTCCTCCATGTCTTAGAATCCTTAGATTCCTTTACCTAGGTTCATGTCTCCTTAGGCAACCTTTCCCTGCCACCACTGAGTTGTTAGCTTTCTCCCCCTTCTTAAATTACCTGGTACTCATCTATGTTTTCCCACCCTGCACTGCTTCCCTGCCCACCCCAGGATATTGGTTTCTGTAGGGGAAGACATCCAACTATACCACTGGCTTGCTGAGCAAACCCCATCTTCTCACTGTTCCATCTCCCCTTCTTCTTTTGCAAAATTAGGGCTATCTTCCTGTCCTGTTTGCCAGGGTTGTTGTAAGACTGAAATTGATGGGAAAGCATGTTGCAGGGCAAAAAAATACTCTCCAAATGCAGCCCTTCTCTGTCTCCTTAGGCCAAAAGTAGCAGCCCAGGACCCCATGCTTCTCCTATACCCCCCACAATGGCTGAAATATGACTGACAACTGGGATCATGTGAAGAATTTGGCACAGGAACCACCCCTCGACTTCTCCTTCAAAAATGTAAATTTCATCCAAGGTAAGCCCGATGTGCACAGCCTCTTTCCTCTCTCTCTCTTCCCTCCATTCAGCCTGGGCTACATTCTCCATCTTTGGAGAAACTATTTCTTTTTCCTTCTCCAGACCTTTGCTGTTTTAAAATGTATTTGAAAAGATTAAAACGTTATGGTCTGGCGTCTTTTAAAAGGCCAAACTGGATAGGAACTAGGAGCCTTCACACGGCTAATGTAATTTTTATGAAAATAATAGAACTAGAGAATGGGACTTAGAGATTTCTCCCTTTTACTCCCTCATTGGGTGGCATAGTACCTGGTATATAATGGGCACTTAAACACTTGTTGAATACACACCTGAATTCATCTTGAACCCCAGACACTAGCACTGTGAGTCAGCCAGCATCTATCCTGTCTGAGCCCATTTGTAAAAAGGAGGATCTCGCAGCAAATGCTTTTCAGAGATATTGAGGGCCTAACAAGAGGTCTGGCAAGTGCTTTACCAATCTTAAAGCACTCTATGTAAACGCCAGCTATTTTTTCATATATGGAAGCTGAAGCCCAAACAGGGGACTTGACTTGCTCAAAGTCACAAAACTAGATACACACTTGCTATCTTTGAAATCATGGCATTTAAAAAAATAAAATAAAAAAACAAACAAACAAAACAAAGTAGTTTGAACAGTGGCCCCAAGTCTTGGCTTTTGCTACAGAGTACAGGTAGGATCCAGCACAACAGTACCTAGCACAACTTTGTGCACATAGCAGCTGCTTAATAACTATTTGTTGTGCTGGACTGGAAGAATAAATCATGGCAAAGTCACTCTCTCTGCCTCTGTTTCTTTAAAGTGGAAATAAATACCCGTACTGTCTACTTCCTAGAGTTGTGAAGAAAGTACATTGCAAACCTTAAAGGGATAGGGACTGGGCCCTGTGCTTTCATTGGTATAGGGAACTCCCATGTGAGGAAACTCTCTACTACTGCAGGTCTTCACCTTTTTTCAAAAGAGCTTCCTCCACCATTGAGAAATTAAATGACTTCCCCAGGGTTGCAAAGCAAGTATGTGTCAGAGACAGGTTTTAAACCCAGGTTTTCCTGGTTTCAAGGCTGGCTCTATCCATTAATACTGCCTGCAAACCTAAACACATTATATAAATGTGAGAATTATTACTGAGTGGCAGTCAGGACTTGACCCCAATGCTCCTCAGACAACAAATTGGTTTTCACACCAGCTCTGGTCTTCAGAGGGCAGAGAGCTAGGCTGGAGGGAGTTAGGATGAGTAACAACCTCTCCCGATCTTAAAGAGAGCATCATAGGTACATAACAAAGCAAAGTCAGCGAGTCAGACAGGCTTGCAGATGCTATTCTCTCTTCTGCTTTTTCTGGGAGTCAAATATGCAAAGAAATTGGAGGGGCAAACTGGGCTATTCATCCCCTAGTGAAGCTAGAGACTGAACCAGTTAATAGGAAGAGCAGGTAGTAAGAGTGCCTGGTAGCTGTAAGAGAACCCTGGAGTCACTGAAGCTCCTGATGGCTCAGTTTTTTCATATACAAAATGAGTTAAACTAGGTGACCTCTGACATCCCCTTCAGTTCCAAATTTATGAACTTATGATCAGATTAAAGGCAGGAAGCCAGATGAGAGGCCACAAATGCAAAAAGGAGGCCAATTTGCTTCAGGACAGCATAGAACCAGGCCATTTGATTTGGATTAGTGTGTTCCTCATCTGGCAAACCATCTCAAGCCTTGTGACTTCCCTGAGGGTAGAAACTCTCTGACTAAAATGCTGAGCACTGTGACAGACATATATAAGTGCGTCACTGAACAAAGGGACACTTTCTACTCTCTTTGTGAGCATGAAAACATAAAAATGTATATACTTTGTCCCCATCTCCTCAAGAAATATTCCAGGTGACAGAGTTAGATGTGGATGGTCTTAGCTCAGGCATCTGCCCTCAGAGAGAAGCTGACTAAAAGCAAAATATCTCCCTCCCCTTCTTCTGGCTATTGAGCACTGTGTTCTGTCACTGGCTAGCACTGTGCTTTTTAGGCATATTTCTTTTTCCTTCTGTACCTTGGCTTCCTGTTTTATAAAATAAGGGAGCCATCCTTCTGACATTCTTTCAGTCGGTAGTTTCGACACTAAAGCCAGTTGTCTCTTTTATCTTCAGCATTTCTTCTTGAAGTAGGGAGATCAGCCCTTGCCTTCACTAGCCTCTCCCTCTTTCCCTCACACGAGCCTTGTCTGCCCCCCCTTCCGTCCCCAGAATCTCCACTGTGTAATGACTGTCCACCACAGAACCCCCTAACAAGTACTGGACAATCTGCACCTCAGAAGAAGAAAATAACTGTGTGTGGCAGCAGGGAGGGAAGAAACAAACTAAGAAGGTTTTCGGGTGGTTTCTGGTGGTACTGTCAGATTTGCACTTGGAAAACAGAAGAGACAACAGCATTCAGGAAACCTAGACTCTGGTTCTTGGCTCTTCCACTGATTTGTGTGACTTTGAATAAGTCCCATTATCTTTCTGGGTCTAAGTTTTTCTCCTCTCTGAAAAAAAAGAGTTGGATGAGATCTCTTAAATAAGCCGTTATCTGAAAATAAGTTACCATAACAGGCTGTAAATTCATAGCATCCAAAAGTGGAAGAGACATACGCTGGACTAGTTAGGGTGTTTTATGAGTCTAATCCACTTGTTTTATGAGTTTAGATGAAGTCGGCTTCCTGTAATTTGGCATCATGGTTTTTTGGTTTGTTTGGGTTTTTTAGATCAAAGAATTTCTAAGTAACCTAGTCCAAACTCTCATTTTAGAGATGAAAAAAAATGAGGCCCAAAGGACATAAAGTAGTCAGAGAGCTCGCTGTAGCAGGGCTGGGATTCAGATAGGTCCAATTCCAAACCTAGTGCCCTTTCCACTACCCTCCCCACAATGGGTCCAATTCTGGGCTCACACATTTCCTCTTTTTCTACAGAAGAGGGTTACCTGTCCCCCAACTCAGTGTTCCCCAGCATAAATTTCCCCACGACTTTCAATTTATCCTTATCTGGCCCTATTTCCATTCCTTTACTTGTCCATGTTCTTCCTAAAACTTGGCTTCCAGAATTAAATTCCAGGTGAACCCTGACCAGGGCAGAGATTAGTTTACCTCACTCTGGTTGCTGGACTCATGATAACTCAGCCCATGACCGTGACCCTTAAGACCAGTACTGAGTTCTTCACAGTCCTGGTTGGCCTCTGACTGAGATGGGAAGAAGAGAGGACCCTTGCCTGGGTGCTCCTGGCTAACTTCACTCTCTGTGATCTGTCCCTGCAGACCTGACAAGTGAGGAGCCTAGGATTGGGCTCCGGCCAGTAAAGCGTTCTAAGGAGGGTAAGTCACTGACCCAGGCGTTGCGAATTAACAACAACGTGCTCAATGACCTGAATGACTTCACTCAAACTCTGTCGCAGCTGTTGGAGCAACCCCAGAACCTGGCTTGGATTGACCTGTCCTTCAATGACCTGGCCAACATTGACCCCGTAGGTGCCTAAGTTCCCAAGGGAGGGAAGAGAATGCCAAGCAAGACATAGGCTGCAGGCAAAAGGGGGTGGGGGGGAGATCCCAAGAGGAAATATCAATGTTGTACAAGGCACAAGATATTTATGAAACACTTGCCATATATCTAGCACTGTGGGGAAGACAGTGGTATGGAAAAGTAGTAAGAACTGGCTCCTTACTTTCCCGTGGTAAGAATTTTGTTCTTTTCCCCCAGAGTCTCTCTCTGTGGGTCATTACAAGCAGCTTAGAAATGGGTACCCAACACTACTGAAGAAGAATATAAACACTTAGTATACTAAGCTAAAGACCATGCTAACCACTGGACATTGGGAAAAGAGAAATAAAAAACAGTGTAACACAGCCCTTCAGAACTTATCCTGTGCCTCACTTTTCTCCTCTGGGTACGTAAGAGGAAGAGTAAAAGAATTAGAATTTGGGGGGCTTGGAGAGATCTTAATGAGGCCTGAATCTGATTCCCAGATGTGCCCCTTCCTACATGTGTGACTGCGGCAAGTTACTTGACCTTTCCAAGTCTTATGTTTCCAATACCTTATGTACACTTAATATTTGTGAAATTAAATCCTCATCTCTAAAATTGGGAAGGTACTATTGTACCACTTACCTTACGGGGCCCTTGTGAAGAAAGTGCTTTGTCAACATCAAACCACTAGGGATATGACTTCTTATTATTTTGTAATAAGGAAACAAAGGTTAAGAGACTTGCTCAGTCCTAAGAGCTAGATGGGGCAGTAAAATAGAGTGGGAAAAACATGGAACATATCATGTCAGGAGACCACGACCTCTGCCTCATGAGAACATGACCACCCTTGATACAAGCCCATTTTCTCACTTATAAATGGGGCTAATATTCCTTGCACTACTTACTCTCATAAGGCTGTCATAAGGAAAAAAGCGAACTCTCAAGTAATAAGAAATATAGGGAGTAGATGGCAGAAATCTCCTGCCTCTCGTCTTTTTTTCACCAGACCATACTGCCTCCTAGTCTCCAGAAGTCTCTAGGATAGAAGGGGTCAGGTCACTCAGAGAGTGGATTCTAAAGAAAAGAGCACCCCCTCTTTTCAAGATTAGATTCCCCAATTCTCCTGCCACCTCCATAAACCAGCCACTGGATCCTACTCAACCTGGTACTGTGTCCCTTCTTCACCCACCAGGTGCTGACCACCTTCTCCAACTTAAGTGTCCTTTATCTCCATGGCAACTGCATCCATCACCTGCCAGAAGTGGATAAGCTGTCAAGTCTTCCCAAGCTTCGTAGCTTGACTCTCCATGGGAACCCTATTGAAGAGGAGAAGGGGTACAGGTAATGCCCCTACCTTGAGACCCCTGAGGAAAGGGAACAGAAGGCTCTGGAGTCTCACCCCCTTAAGTATAGACTGAGGGGACAGCACAAGTTATAGATTTAGGAGAAAGGGAACTTTACCAGGTTCTCCAAAGGAGGTTATTCTTGGCCAAATCAAAAGGTCACTTTCTTTCAGGGAAGGGAGTGGAATGGAATGGAAGAAGAGGCCTATGTGAAATTCCTTTAAGGCCTAGAAAGGAGAGTGACCTGACTGAGTGTGGGTGGGAAAGATTCCTAAGTCAACATATCTGAGAATGGCAAAAGACTCAATGAGTGGAACATATGGGAAGTTATTCTAATGATTTAGTGACACCCCGCCCCCCCCATCACACTGGCTGCAGATGCTAATTCCCTTAGGTATTTTTGGAGAAGAATGGCAGTACTTACAACCTACTTCTACCCTGATTGTATCCAGGGTCACTTTGCTCTTATTACTGAAGGAGCTAATGTAGGGAGGAAAATATTAGTAACTCTTTGGGGCACATAGTTAAGTGGCCTTGGATTCATATCCAATCCCCCCAGTATGACTCTTTCCTCTTTCAACCCATTCTGGAGAGCCCGCAATCCTATATCCTCCCTGCAGGCAATATGTGCTGTCCATCCTACCCCGAATTACTACCTTTGACTTCAGTGGTGTCACCAAGCAAGACCGGATCACAGCCACTATCTGGAGACAAATGAATGTCAAGCCCAAGAAGGTCCAATTGAAACATAATTTTTTATAACTCTCTCCATGCTTAAAGCCCCAAAGCCCCTAAGACTCTGGTACCCTCTCCCTCAGCAGTAAAGGAAATGAGCTGTTCTAGGGGGCTTGAGTCCCTCAGCTGCGCGTTGAGGTGCCTTTCAAAAGGTGGGCAGAGTAGAGAGCAACTCAGATAGCACACCACCACCCAGCCCCAAGCATACTTAAGGAGGCAGAATCTGGCCTGTATCCCACCTTGCTATTCAGAAGCCTGAAACTTGATTGACAGATATCTAGAAACTCTCAGAGTGCATCATCTAACAGGCTTGACAGCCCCCCCCCCGTACTTTTCCTGCAATCTTTCTGATGGTAACCCTTTCCAAAGGTCAAAGAATGTCAAGACCTCCAGTTGGAGATCATTCTACCACTTTGAGCCCCTGCTGCTGTTATCCCTGCAAAGGTATCTAGTTAACTTTAAAGCTGTACAAGAAGTGGGAGGCTGGCATGGTAAGGACAAGGACAGAAGGGCTGGAGCCAGGATGGATAGATGTCCTTTATGGAGGGTGGCAAACCAAAACAAATAAAAGGATCAAACATGTAAAACTGGGTGTGAGAAATAGAAACAACCAATTTAGTTCTTAGTCCCTTAATATCAGTTCAAGCCCCAACACAGAAGGGTGATCTCAAGGAAGCCAAATCTCTTCCTACCCACCACCCCCAATCATGAAATAATAATTCATATCCAAATTCCTATCTTCCCATTCCTCTAGCTCTGCCTCCCCCCCACCCCCCAAGTGGCAAAACATCATAGATCCTCCCCACAAAGTATTCAGCCAGGGCCACATGGCACAAAGGCTTCTTGGGAACTCATTGTGTGTCAAACACCTCTGGACTGCCATGGTAGTTTCTCCTCTGTGATTAGTTGCAAGTTAGGTTTCTGTACAAGCAGGAAGAAATAAAGGGAAAGGAAGGCGGGAACAAGGGAGAGATCTCCAGAAACCATCCTCATGGGACCCCAAACTGCACGACCAGCTCCTCTTTTGCGTCGACCCGGATCTGAGAAAGTGCACTATAGGCATAAGCAGCTATTCTGGAGACCTAAAGTTGCAAGAAAAAGGCAGTTACAAAAATACAGACAAATACTGTCCAGCAGGGTAGTGAACAAAAGAATGTAAGACACGTGAGAAAAACACTGGGACAGGGGGTGTTTCCAAAAAAGAAAAAAATAAAATACTAAGAGGGGAGAGGGCTCATGATAGCCCTCTTTCAGCCATTTGTCTTCCTCTCATGGCTGGTACTATCCCCTTCTCTTCTCTCCACCCACCTCCCAAAGGCTGCCAAGAAAGAGAACTCCCAGAAGGAAACAACCCCTACTCTAATAACACCTAAACTGTTAACCACGTGCCCAGGAAATTGGAACAGCCTGGATAAGCAGAGAGGGAAAAGGGTAATCACCGTGGGTGGAATTAATGGCAAGGCAAGAACTGGGCTGGCCTAAGTCAGGGAAGAAAAAAGCAAAAGACATGGCCTTACCTGCTGTAAATCTGCAAAAGGGACAGGGTCACTGGCAAGCACTTGGTGGGGCTGGCTGGTGAGTGATGGCAGTGGTGGCAGCTTCTTCCAATGAGTCAAGCTACTGCTCAGGACAGCCAGGCGAGTACTATAGGGGAGGAGCACAAGAGAAGATATAGGTCCTCTGTATTCCTCATCATGTTCTTCCACAATCAGGAAATGGGGTAAATGTAGCTCCTGCCCTGGAGTTTAGCAGACCAGTCAGTGTTCTTTCCATTCTCACTCAATGACCTTATGTGACCTTATGAAAACCTTAACTTCTTTTGCCCTGGTTCCATTCCCAGGGTGGTGGGAGGAACAAACAGGCAATTCATTTTCAAAGACGTAGAAAGGACCTGGATCTAGTCTAACCCCCTAATTTTACAGGTAAGGGCTCAGATTAACTGACTCACTCAATTACCTGAAGACGACAGTGCTAATGAGTCAGAGGTTTCAGAGCCTGGGGCAGAGGGGACAGAGAGACTAGAAAGGAAGCTGTCAGTCCCTTGTCCCTATTCCCCTCACCTGTACTGTCTCGCTCGGTCCATGTACTCATGTTGCTCCATGCCCTGGGAATCTGCTGCCGATACATCAATGATGTTGCTGGGGAAAAAGATAACTGAGACTTCAGTTAAAAATGGATGAGAAGATCCTGGGGTCTTTACGTGGAATCCAACAATTCACCACAATTTATTCATACATCAGTCAAAGCAGGGTGGCAGAGAACTGGAAAGACCTCCATTACACAGACTAGATGCCTCTAGCCTAGGTGGGAGATAGGGACAGGGAGCTAACTTCCTCTTCCACACCTCCCCCAGGGGATTCATTAGATTCTAGAACAAGGGTTCTCAACCTGGGGTCCATGGATAGATTTCAGTGGGTCTGAGAACTTGGATGTGAAAAAAAAATAACATCTTTCACTAACCTCTAACTGAAATTTAACATTTCCTTTAATTATGAATATATTTTTAAAAATTATTCTGATGTATCTATAGGCTTTACCTCATTGCCAGTGTGTTCCATGACACCAAAAATGGTTAAGAAGCCCTGCTCTAGAGCCTCCAGCAGGGCAGAACTGAAGCCTAAAGGACCCTTAACTAAGTACTCAGCTCAGAAGGAGATGTTCGAAAAAGACTTGCCCTCAATCAGCACACATACTACTAAAGGTTAGAGATACAGAATAGGTATGTGAGAGAGAGAGAGAGAGAGAGAGAGAGAGAGAGAGAGAGAGAGAGAGAGAGAAAGAGAGTGAGAGAGTATGTGTGTGTGTGTTCCTTCGTGTTCGCTATAAGGAGGAAAAAACAAGTAATTCTGTGAGATGCAAAGGGGGTGGGGTCAGAGAAGGGTTCCTTTGAGTTGAGCACAGAAGGAGGATGATATTCCTTATCCTACAGGTAAAAGGGGCTGGAGCAGACACAGCTCCTTCCACTCTGACCTGGCTGTCTTGGCAAGGATAGAAGACAGCAAGGCCTGCTCATCTGTACGGGCTGCAGGCAGGCTGTGGTAGTTGTGTTCTGCTCCATTTAGGGTCTTGGTTGGGGGACTGCTGGGGTCCAGAAGTAGCTTCCGTTCCTCTCGATCCTAAATGGAAAGAGGGTCAGCAACAGACTAGACATGAAGTACACAAAATGCTTCTATTTCTCCTTACCCCCAAATTCCATTTGGCTGTGATACCCCCAATCTGAGCTAGACCTCTCTCGATCTCCAAGCTGGAAGGCATCTTAAAGTGAAGACAATTCAATCTGTACCAGAACAGAACCCTCTACAACAGCCCTAATAAGTGATCACCGAGCTTCTACTTCAAGGACTCCAGTGACTCTTTCCTCAGGCTGCCCATTGGGCCAATGCTGTGAGGAAGTTAAGAAATCTTCCTCAAGCAGCTCCTCCCACTGCTCCTAGATCTGCCTTCTGAAGACAAACAGAAGATATCTAATCCCTCTTCTACATAACAGCCCTTCAGATATTTGAAGACAGCTGTCATGGTTTCTCTCCACACACATACCCCCTACCCCCACAAAAAAAAAATTCTCCTGCTTTCTATAACCTAAGAAATGTCCAGTTCAGAGTTTTGTCTCTCCCTTCCTCATTATGCCACCTGCACTCCTGGCCAACATCCACTCCCCCATGGACCCCCTTGGCCCTTCCTGACCCATTTGCCTACATTGCCACATTCTTACTGCCATTTCCCTTCCCTGTTGTTTTCCCCCATTAGAATGTAAGTTCCTTAAGGTTAGGGACTGTCTTCATTGCATGTACTTATATCCCCAGCTCACAACACAGCGTCTGGCCTAGAGTGGTTAATAAATGCTTTATCTCCTTATCTATACTGAAGGATTAGGAAATTAGCAATAAGAAAAAGGAAGCAAGCTTCTTCTGCTTACACACAGAATGCATAACTAGGACTGGTGGGTAGAAATTGCAAAGGGAGACTGGCTTCATATAAGGAAAAGCTTCCTAACAATAAGGGCTGTCCAAAAACATTAATTTGTTTCATAATAAATGTAGAATTGAGTTCATGAGGTTGTGAGTTCTCTGTCACTGAAGAAATTCAAGTAGAACCTAGATGATCATTTGTTGGGGAGTCCTATTCAGGTAAAAGTTGGAAAAGATGAACTCTAAGGTTCCTTATAGGCCTGCAGTTCTTTGATTCTAAGAACTTTGGCCATCAAACCATGAAAAAGAATATACATATTGAGCCCATCCCTCTGTAGGTCACTACATGACATGAGTTAATCCTTTCCCTCTCACATGACATTAAATCCCTTCCCCTTTCTCTACCTGTTTCCTTACCTATAAAATGAGGCAGAACTGTAGTCCTTTCCAACTCATAACATAGTCCACTCAGGGAGCCAAGGCACATATATTTTTCTAATCATAATCTGTGACAACATTCCACCTCTACCTCTGCCTTGTAAGCTACAACTCTGTTCTTCATCCTCATTATATTACCTCCAATCCTTCTACCCCTAAGTTCTTTCCCAGGACATCACTCCTGTACTGCCTACACTCTTCAATTCCATACCTTGACCCCTTAGTAAACCAGGTCAACTCTAGACTGTTCCTCCAGTCCCTTGCCTATTCTGTCTTGATCTTGTCCTGTCAAGCCTCAGCCCTAGATTACTCCCACTATCCACTGCCACAAAACCATGCTGAGTCCACTACAAATTGATGCTACATAATCTTATTTGGGTCCTCACTGCTACAAGGCAATCCTTTTACATCTCCCAAATCAATTCACTATCTAACTCATTAGAGTCAATTTTCCCAAATTTTCTCATCCCTCCAAGCTCACCTCACATTTCACTAGTAATAAAAAAAAAAAAGGTCATTTACCAAGAGCTTCCTCTTCTCCCCTCCACCTCATCTCACATCACTCAGATGCCTTCCCCACGCTTATCTCATATGAAGATATGGCCATTCTCCCTGCCAAAGCCAACCCCTCTACATGCACAAGTGACCTTATTCCACCTCACCTTCAGTATAGTATATCACCCCTTCCATGATCCCACTCTCTCACTGATACTGACTACTATCTACTGATGCCTTCTCTATTGCTTCCTAACACACCCATGTCTCCCCCAACCTCAAAAACCTCTCACTTGATCCTGGCCCTGGATCATCTTATTACTTCCCTTTGAGAAGGCCATGTACAATTAGTATCTCCACTTCCTTTTCTCTCAGTCTCTTCCTGACTGCAGTCTATATTCCTACTTCATCATTCAACTGAATGAGTTCTCTCCAAAGTTACCAACAGTTTTTTAATTGCCAAATCTTAATAGCCTCTTCTCAATCCTTACACTTCTTGACCTTTCTGCAATCACTGACACTGTGGATCACCTTCTTCTCCTAAATACTCTTCCAATTTTTTTTTTGGTGATACTATTCTCTCCTGGTTTTCCTTCTACTTGTCCAATCAATCCTTTTCTGCCTCCTTTGCTGGATATTCATCCAAGTCATACCTGATGATCATGGGTATCCCCTAAAGCTCTGTTCTGGGTCCTTTTCTCCTTCTATACTTTGGGTTATCTCATCAGCTCCCATGGATTCAATTATAATCTTCATGTAGACAATTCTTAGAACTACGTGTTCAGCACTAACATCTCTCCTGACCTCCAGTCTCACTTCTCCAACTGAATTTCCTTTAGACACCTTAAATTCAACATATCAAAAACTGAACTCATTTTTTTCCTCCCAAAGCCTCCCCTCTTGCTAACTTAACTTCCCTGTCACTATCAAGGATATCATCATCCTCCCAGGCCCTCAAGTTCGAAACCCAAGTTATCATCTTTGATTCTTCACTCTTATCCCCATGTCCAATCTGCTGCCAAAGCCTGTCTGCCTTTCCAATACACTCCCTTCTCTCCTGACACTGCCACCACCCTGCCTCAAATCTCTCCCCACTCAGTCCATTCTCCACTGCTGTCAAACTGATCTTAATGAAGTGCAAATCTGACCATGTCACTCCCCTATTCGATCAGTTCTAGTGGCTCCAGAATCAAATACAAAATCAGATAGATCAAACAGACAATCCCTGATCTGACTTTTAAAGCCCTTTATTACCTGGCCTCTTCCTCTCTCTTGTCTTATAATTTACTCCCTTCCATATATTCTGAGACCCAGTGACACTGGATCCAGCTCTGTACACCATGTATTTTCACTGGATGTCCCCCCCATGCTTCAAATCCTCTCCTTCCTCATCACCTCTCGGTTTCCCTGGATTCCTTCATGTTTCAGCTAAAATCTGCCTGCAAGAAGCCTTTCCCAATCACTCTTAGTACTAGTGCCTTCCCTCTGAGATTATCTCCCATTGATCCTGCAGATATGTAGTATATACATAATAACTGTTTGCATGTTGCCTCCCTCATTAGATTGTGAGCTCCTTAAAAACAGGCACTCTTTTTTTGACTTTCTTTGTATCCTCAGCACTTAGCATAGTGTCTGTCACATAGCAGGTGCTTAATAAATGCTTGTTGATTCGAAATCCATGAAACTACTGGCTTTTTTTAAAATTCAATTTAGAGAACAGGATGAGATAGGATTTGGTTAAGCATTAAAACAAATGTTATGGACACTCAGAGACTTTACTCTACACTGGAGTAGTAAAGAAAAGCCTCTACAGGAGTTTAAGCTGAGACTTAAAGGAGAGAGTAGGATTCAAATAGAGGTGAGGCACTCCACGTCAGACACACACATACCATAGGCAAATGGCCCACAGGTGAGACCACTGAAGACGTATTTGGATGGCCAAAGACAATAGAGAGGATCAAGCTGGCTCAAAGCAGTAAGAACTCACTTTGTGTAATCTCAGCTCTGCTACTTACTACTGCTTACATGAGCTGAGCCAGTTAATTCATACCTTTTCAGGCCTTAGTTTTCTCATCTAAAAGGTAAGGTTGGATTAGATGACCTCTCAGGACCCTTTCAGTTCTAAATCTAAAAAAAACTGAGGAAAAGGCTGGAGCTAATGGGAAAAGATTCCTTGAATCACTGCCTGAGCAGTTTGGATTTCATGAATCAAAGCTCAGCTATACTTCCTCTCTCTGCAACTCAGTTTCCTCATTTATCAAGGGGGTGGGTGTAAACAAAATAATCACTACTCACAGTTCTGGAGCTCTTTAAGTTTTAAAAGTGCTTTCCCCAAAACAACCCTGTGAGATAGCTAGTGCAGATATTCATCCCCATTTTACAGATGAGGATAAAGAAACAGGATCAGAGGCTTGCCTTGTCACATATCAATGAAATGTTAGAATCAAGATATGAACCCAGTACAATATTATTTTTACTGAGCATTCCTGATGTTCTCTGCAAATCCAATCTTGTGATCCTGTAAGCAGGCACTGAAGGTTTTAATGCAGCGAGAGGGATGTGCTTAGTAGTTTCTTGTAGCTGACGGAAGATGGACTAAAGCAATCTAAAGCAGGGTGACAGTAAGGAAGCTGTTGTAATTGCCTCTCTGTAACAATAGGTCATCCCCACTCAGCTGCACTTCTCTCAACTTCATCGTGCTCCCAGGAACCTCCTCAGCCCACAAGAACTCACATCAACCTGGAACTCACTCATCAGTACCTCACACCCCGGGCCTTCTCTGCTCTCTGATAAGAGCAAAGCACTTTTCTGAGAGGAGGGTGCCCAGGCCAGCCACTGTGGAATTCCTCACACCCCTGTGCTGGGTACCCTCCCTCCCCTTCCTTTTATGTGTAGTCTTCCCCCATTAGATTGTTAAGCTCCTTGAGGGCTAAGTCATCTTTTGCTTTTCTTTATATCTCTAAGACAGCACAGTGCTTGGAACATAGTAGATGCTTAATAAATGTTCACTGACTGACTGGTAAAGGCCATGCTAAGTAGAGTTCAGGCGTACCTCAAAGAGGCAGCTAGATAATACCATCAACTATTTTAAGTGAGGATTCAAGGCGCCTATACCAATCATCCAGTCAAATATCACCCTAACTGGGGCAGCTAGGTGGTGCAGTGGATAGAGCACCAGCCCTGGATTCAGGAGGACCTGAGTTCAAATCCGACCCCAGACACATGACACTTACTAGCTGTGTGACCCTGGGCAAGTCACTTAACCCCATTGCCTA